CGACAAGTTCGTCTACTCCACGAGGAGTCCTAGGCGGGTATAGGATAGTAAGGCATGAATATATGAAACCCTGATAAAAATTAACCATGAGGAAGAGATTCACAAAGAACCATAGGGTGAATTGGATAATGGCAACCTTGCCTTTGCGATATGACCCTCCAGAACTATCGCCTACTTGGCCGAGAAATATGCATGTTATTGTGAAAACCTTATCCGCCATCATAGCAGCAGGGAGCAACATCTCATGCCATTGTCGCTTAATTATCATAGAGACGGAATCACCACGGCTTCCTTCATCCCATGCTAAATACGCTAAAAATCCCGCATCTAAGATAACGCTGATCAAGAGATAATATCATATTTCCAGGTCAAAAGGTAACACGAACGTGCCAATCCTACTTGCAGCGGAGGGTGGGTTTGTAATAGTAAAGAAATCAATTGATCGAAAATGAGGCTGAAAAAAGGTAAATAGCAAATCGCTTGAATAGGAAAGCTGTACTGCGAATGAATTCCCAAAACTCTTGATAAACTGTGAGTTGTTCAGCTTCATAAATTCCTCTACTTCGTGAGCCGTTGCTCCCAATATGGTCAAGTTATACCTTTCCGAAATTATAACCATGGGGCAGAAGTCGAAAGTTGTTACCTTGGCAAGCCCATCCTGTAATAGTTCACACTTTCCTTCCACCGGATCTTGCTGAAAGGCAAGATACTTATGAATGTCATTATTCTGAGCGTCCCACGATTGACGGATGCCGCGCAACGACAATGTCATAACTTTTGAAAACCTTAGTGGATCACACGTCAAACATGGAACAAATAACGATGAGGAGATATCATCTTGGAATATGACTGGTTTCATGGTACCCAAAAAGTCAACATGGTATGAGAGACATGACAAGTCAGTGTGACTACGAAGGTAACCAAAAATGATTTCTTGTCGGAATAACACACCGCAGAACATCATTAAGTTTTTGCAGGAAATCAGATCAACGAAGATGACTTTAGGCCGTGCAGATTTCTCCGTTCCACGATAGTAATGAGACTTAAGGTACGTTAGGTACGGGTTGGCACCCCTCGTTGAAAGTATTGATTGTTGAAGGTCCTAATATCGAAGAGGAGTGTATGAATTATCTTCCCTAATGACCTGTAAATATGGGAATTCGGTGTCCACGTAATTTACCTTATCATATCTATATGTGAATGTGAATGAGATCGGCATCCAGAAATAGACCGCTCCAAATTGTACAATTACTACGATACGACAAAGTAGAAAATGTCGCGATAAAAATGCAAATCCAGTATGGAAGCAACATGATAAGTTTGGCGGAGGAATTGTAATTATTGGCTCATACACTTTTTGTGTGGAATCCAGATATAAAAAATTCTGGTAGGGTTGAATCACGTATTCTATATGGGAGAAAACCGACTAGCTCTTCGTGTTAGATCCACAAAATCCGTTTCTCATATCCACCTTGTTAATATTAATCGGGCTTCCCACCAAACGATGATATTTCATGGACAAAACGGGATACGGAAACGTTGACTAACCCTGAAAAAGGATACACAGTATGAGTATTAAAATATGGTTGTTTCTGCTGTCATCCAATTTTAGTTTGCCTTGTATTTTGCACAGGCCGAAAACCCGTGGGATATGTATATGCACTTACAGAGAGTGTCTCACACCCATGATGTACGTATTTTGGGCAACCTAATATCTTACCAACAGCTGTATTTTTTTTATGCGAAACTCGCTGAATACAATATCCCTTGTTCTTAACTACTAGCCTGCATCGTTTTTTTCACGATGAAATAACTTCCTGTCATCTTTCAGGGGTAACTTCCTTCCAACCTAAAATTTGAAGGTTGCAAAATCCGTCAAGCGTCTTGTCGCAGGAAACTTTTTCTTTTAATAGTTTAAATCCTACAAAATCTAGGCAGGCAAGGTCATGTGACTTAACAGGATCGTCTTGTCTTATTGTTTGATACATAAGTTCAGGACCAAAATATCATACCTCTTTTTCATACGGCGAAGTTCTCTTCGTACTTTGCGATGAAGCCTTGTGGTGATGAATGTCATATTTGCATTCGTTCCCCGGGAACCATTTTAGAATTTCTTTTTTTAACCAAAGGTCGCAAAACGTGGTCGATATATCGGCCCACATTTATGATTTAGTGGTGCCAGCGAAAAATTTGTCTAGGCTTCATCCTACACGGGCAACGTGATAAGATTAACTTTGGAGTGAAAGTGGTCAAATTGACACAACTCTGAACAAGTTGCTGACCATAAGCAGCGAGCTTATTACATGCTGCATCTAGTTAGACCATTGCCTATCTCAAGTTGTGTTCACATTGAAATACCGATTTAGACGCGTGGATTAAATATTCTAACTTTAATATACTAAAGGATTTACTATTCAGGGTATCCTCATTCAGTCACGTACACCAGTATCTAGATATAGCGTTGATCGATAATTTCATTAGCACAGATGTTTAAAGTTGGTATAAATTTTTAGCACGAAACGGATTCAGTGAAAATAGCTAGTTACGGCGTGAACCAATGTTGTAGGTGATAGTTTTCGTAACGTTAACCTAGTAGAAAACATGTCTGTTCAAAAATTCACTTTTCATTCAAAAGTCAGTTAGCCTGATTTCTGACTGACTGACGGAGATTTTTTTCACATTCAATCATGTTCTTTCAGAATTGGGAGAATTATTTATCGAAATTATGGATGTATAAACATGATCTTTCAAATTCGTTTCCTTTAACTTCAACTGATTTCATTTCTTACTTCGCCGCATGTAGTGGGCATTGAATGAAAAATGAAGGAGGTGAGAAATCCTGTCATCCGTCTTAAATGACGAATCCTTCAGTCATTTTCATTCAAATTACAGGCAATTCATTTTCATTCACTATCATAACCAGTTAAATGAATGAAAGTGAATAGGCATGATGGGCCTATAGGCACAAATAGGCAGCAATAAACAATCTAAGCTAATACACATACCTATCCACGGTAAGAGCGAAAATAAAGCGTTTCCTACTATTGGCGACGTTACAAAAAAGTATCCACTAAAATATATTACTTTCCATCCATAGTGGGAGCTATTTTTAAAAGTTTCGTGTCGTGCTAGAAACTTATGTAGCAAGCTGCAACCCAAATGGCAGACCATTTTTAACATAATAATAATATAATTGAATTGAATCAGAAATGTTAAATGTGTTGGTGTTTTGGATGGAATAATAACTTGTGTGTGAACAATGTGGTGGACTTATCAAATGAATAGGCAGGGAACAACTGTGTTTACTAATTTAAAATTGAAGTGTTTACTTGGTCAAATTGGGTTTAGTTTATACATTAGGGCAGCCAGGGAAGATTAGAGTGACACGACGTATTTGCATTATACAATTTTCACAACACGATAAATTCCATTACAAATACAAACTACGTATGTACATACTCAACTTGAGAAGGGATAAGTTTCTCACCAGCTTAAATGTAATATTTCGAGTCCAAATTTTTGATACAATGGTTAAAACAGACCGGTTGAAACGCTCAGATATCACAAACAGTAAGTTCTTAATACGTAATTGATAAAACAAAATTATCAGTTTCAAGTAATTAACTATTTCGTAATTAATTAAATACGCCCACTTATAAATGTAGTCCAAGAGAGTCTCGGAGAGAGCAACCTCACACCACCACGTCTCGCACACGTCTCCAGTCCACTTTTAACATTCGTGCCAATTAAATCCACCACCCTGGATATAAATATTTATATGTTTACGGGCATCGTGGCATTGGAAGACTAACGGTGGATTTCGCGATTTTTAACACGAAATGCACATCAAATCAATATTACTCCAAAGATTGAGCGAACGTTGAACTCATTTATGTAAATTCTCAATTGTGCTGCAAATATGTGGTTGATACTATGGGTGGAACTCAATCTTGCAGCGACTTCATTGTTAGTAAGGGTTCCAATGCACTGTCTGTAATTATATGTAATGTAATCTCATGTAATGTAGTGTAATGTAATGTATGGTAATATGCAATGTAAGGTCTGTATTAATATAACATACAATTTATATTTCCGAGGTCAAGAGGGAAATCCTTGGTTTGGGATTTTACATGCGTAGACACTTTCGCCCCAGTTACCTTCCCGAAACTGTGCGCTACCAAGGCGCTGCTGCCAGCAAGGCGAAAGATAATAAGAGGAGGAGGTACGCTTTTCTCTTAAACCGTTTTATATTTGTCCCTGTCGCAATGGAAACGACTGGGGTGTGGGGCCAAGAAGGGCTCTCCCTCATTAATCGAATTGGCGAGAGGATCGCCTATAGAACCGGACAGGCTAATGCTGTCACCTTTCTCCGCCAACGAATCTCGCTGGCTGCTCAGCGGGGAAACGTTGCTTCAATTCTAGGGACACTTCCAGAAGGCAAAGAATTGGAGGTGTATTATTTTTAATGTTTTTTAATTTATTTGACTTTTTTCAGGATTTCTTCGTTTTTTATTTAGGTTAGGGATTTTTATTGTACGACTCCTTTGTAGTCAGCTTTTCTGATATGCAATTTATGTAATGTGTATGCAATAATAAGTGAAAATAAATAAAATATTTATATTCCCACATGCATACATATTTTTTTAGCTGCATTTCATTAATTATGCATAGCTAGTTAATTAGCGTCTATAATTGTATAGCCCTATCATAATGTGTCATGGTTTTTAAATCATTTTTATAAACTGATATCCATTAACACTCGAATAAAAGTTGACTTGAGTGTGTGATTGAAGCCAGAAAACTTATATAACTAATACTGACAGATATGTACATAAGTAGCTTACGCGATAACACTTTTATAAATGCATACCCACTCATATTATTTTACTCGACGTTCAACCAATTCACAATTCAGTCAGGACAGCTACACACTGGTTGCACGTGAATAAATGAAAAACAGTGATGTGTATGCTAACACATCTCAAAACTTGCTTATGTATAAACCGATACGAAATTATTAGTCATTCCGCATCCATCCCTCTACGTATTAACTCGTCATCCTTACAAGTTGTGAATCACGACTCATAAGTAAATTAACTTCGGAAAAACGAAAATCAAGAAATTCGTTTTCGCGAAGCGTTTTAAAAGTCTCAACATGGGTCTAAACTTTGCAGGGGTGTACCTAGTGTGCTAATAAATTCCCGTATTGAGTTATTCTAACTTTGTCAGGTAACTGAAATGAATTTTTATTTCAAACTTTCAGTTTGGTTAAAGAAAGTATTCATGAACAATAAAAACATATCATTCTTCAAAATTTCCTCCTTTGGCTTTTACACACTGGCGAAGTCTGATGGGGAACCGGTCGATTGCGGCACGCACGACTTCCATTGGAAATTTTGCCCAAGCTTTACGAAGGGAGCACTTCAGAGCCTCAACACTTGTATGGGGCTTAGAGCAGGCCTCCACCTCCAATTTCGACCATATGTCATAGTCCAGAGGATTTAGGTCCGAGGACGCCGATGGCCATTGTTGAGAAGAATTGAAATCCGGAGTATTCGTTGCCAACCACTTCTGGACAATTTTAGCCCCATGTGCAGGCGCTGAATCTTGTTGGAAAGTCCAATGTTCATTTTTGAACAAAGTAGACCCCAACGGCTTGACAATCGGCTCCAAGACGTTTTCCAAGTAGTTCTTCGCTCTCACTTTCACCCCTTGGGGCACGAAGAACAACTTTGCTTTCCCCTTCCAACTCCCTCCAAGCCAGACCATGACGGAGCCAGGATGATGACATCTTTTGGACTTTCTTTGTAATGGGAGGTCTTGTTTCCGTCTTGCGTAAATTCGGTCGTTTTGACGATTAAATTTTTCTTCTACCGAAAATATCTTCTCATCCGTGAAGAGGATTGATTTGTACTTTTCACCCCCGTACCGCTTGAGTAGCGCCCGGCATCTTTCCACCCTCTTCTTCTTCTGTGGAATTGTCAGCAGATGACAAGTACCTCGCCGGAGAGCCTTAACCTCTAGGTCAACTTTGAGGGCATTTCTAGTGGTACCCCTTGAAACCTTCATGTGCAGAGCAAGTTTCTGCTGAGTGCGGCGTGGATTCCTCCGAATTCTGGCCTTTAGAGCTTTCACCATAGCTGGAGTTCGGGCAGTTCGAGGTCGGCCGGATCTCTTTCGGTCATCAACACTCCCAGTCTCCAGGTACCTTTTGACGGTGTCATAGACTGTTTGGCGTTTGACTCCAGAATTTTTCAGACAATTGAAAATCTCGATCGGTCTCTTCTTTGACAAGTGCAGCTGCAAAATTGCGGCACGTTGAATTTCCTTTGTCGCCATTTTGTTACAAGATATCTTTCAAGTGCAACTTTTCTACCCTATAATCAATAATAGTGGTGCTATAAATTAGTGAGGAAAGCAAAGTAATTTTTCAATCGGTTCGAAAAATACTTACCTTCAAAGTCAAATACGGGAATTTATTAGCAGACTAGGTACATAGTCATTGCTCGTTTACCGGAAGGACGTACGTTGTATATTTGTTTTTCATAAAAATCACGTTTGAAAAACAAAACTTTGATACCTAATTTTCTCAAATTTTATTTTCAAATTAAGCCATGAAGTTACACCCGTACTTCGACTTCAACATGGGGGACACTACAATTGTTCAAGTTTCTGGGGGAGGCTACAAGCTCTCGCTTAATCCGACCTGCATGAATCGCAGTTTGGAATTTACTCTTGGTGAAGAATTTACACAAAGTATTCCGGAACTCGGAACTTTTAAGGTATGGTAAAAGTTTATTACCGAGTTGTTAATATCACTAAACATATGCATTAATTATCAATATTCATCAATACGATTCTGGTGCGAATGTTATTGGGATTATTTTATCTCTGGGTTTCTAAAAATAAATTTATTCGCATAAGGTATAACGCATTATTCACAAGTCCGAAAAAAATGGATTTCGCAATGTTTTAAAATTTTCAAAAAGTGGGCATACTATTTAGGATAAATACCTTCCATATAATATGTATTTGTTCCATTTTAGTTTTATAAAATTAGTTGCGATTCAGAATTGTAAGGAATACCCTTAATAATTATTTTCGCCCTGCTTTTCCATTTCTGTATGTAGACAACTTTTACCGTCAATGGTGAAAATGAGCTGGTCCAGACGGCAATTTCTTCTCAAACCAATGAAATCTTTGTGATTCGAAGGATTTATAATGGAAAGCCGATTTCGTTCTATGCGCACAAGGAGCAGGTGGAAATTGTGAGTGATTTATTGCAAAAATGAGTGTAGTTTGTACTTTTAAAAATATTTGCCATTTATAAGAGTAATAAATTCATACGTGTGTATTTTCTTGCAATTTTGGCAAATGAGTATTGACGGAAACGCGATTCCATGGTTCTTCGTGATGGTGACACGATGAAGGATTTTTTATCTTGAATAATTACTGCATGTTGTTTAACATGATTATTCATGCTGTCATTTCGTATATATGTACTTGGCTGATTAATAAATAAATGAAGCACACCATTAGTATCATATTTATGAGCGATTTGTTGAGTGCATTTTTTAATGGGTTCATCATACGTATTTACATTTTTGTTAAGTTTGTCAAATAAATTGGATAGACGTATTATATAAATACCGTCTTTTTTAATCCTTTTTTTAATCTTTTTTAATCCCAATGTCCACGTTTATCGCCATGTTTTATCCTGAAATTTGCAAATTCGACTAAAACGTATGCATACATACATTTGTAATACTGAATACATGCATACATACATAAATATTGGTGATTTACATGTATGTATGTAAAAGTCTTTTACACATGTAATTGGCAGTGATGTGATGATGATGGGTTTTCATAGTGACACATAAAAATCCATCTACCACTAAAATACATACTTACGCATGCATCTATTTGGAGTGATGAGGTCATACTTCGATCCTGTGAGAGGAATCCGACTGGATGTGAAGCACGAATGATTCGTTTTCCATGAAACCTGATAGCCCGAAAAGGCAATTCGTTCGATTACTATGCAAATTATTTGTTATCACATTCATGCATTCATGCATAAATGACGGCACTTATAAAACCAGAATCAGAATTGTAACCAAGACGGTTAATATTGACACCGGAGGTGTTGATTTGACAAATCTTTGTTTTGAGTGTACCCAAAATATCCCAGATATAAAGTGATAAATTTATTCACCGGGTTTTGTAATTATTCTCAAGGGATGTTATATGTGAAGATGCAAGGTGGCCTCCATGCGACGAAGTGCCAGTCCCTATTGGAGGCTTCTTCAATCACTTGCAAACCATTCATCAAATTGATTTGGATGAAATAATAGTTCAGGGACAGTTCTGCGACAGAACTGGGACAGTTCTCCCGGTTTCTGGTGGAGACCTATTTCCAGGTATGTACATATTTACTTGCTCTTGTTTTTCGGCTATAAAACCCTCCACGTTGCGGTTGCAATTCTATTATTGATAATAGTGGGTGTTCCGGATGTAATGCAACTTTGGTCAAATGCACATATAAACGAAATTAATGAATTTGTTTATGCGAAATTTTGGCTAAAAAGAGACAAAGGTTGAAGCTAATTATGTTTTGCTTCAAATCGTCCCTAGACCCACATCCGCCCATTCTGGAGAAGCTTTTGTCGGGCGCTCCCCATTAGTGCTTCACCACTGTTTTTGGTTACCTTTTTTGAGATTTTTGACCACATCTGGCAATGCAAGTTCAAATTATTGGCTGAAGTTTTTCGACTATAATATTCTTTCATGGATAAAAACTAAAATTTTTCAATAGGTCTTGTATTTGGCAAATTTGGGAACGTTCACCTCTCCCATGTTAATTGCATTTGATCCGTTTTAAGGCGGAGCGTGATACTTTGGCTTATATTTAATTTCCAGTTTTGCGTAAATGGTTTTCTTGAAGGTGGGAGAGTTGTACTATGTGCAAATAAAAGCATTTTGATAATTCCGGCAGTAACTCGTCTCGTACATGACGATTAAATTTGATTAATTTTGATTACTTCAGGTCGAGCCTTTTTTCTGTCATTTTGTTTGCTCCATCTGTTTTACTCTTCACTGTATTTATAAGCTTATACCGCCTTATAGGATTTGATGTCCAACTTCTACGCTTTAGAATAATGTACGATGTTAGGTGTCAATTTCAATTATTTAACAGAGTTTCGCTCTGACAATGCCGATTTCCCTTTGTGCGATTCTTATCCCTTTGGCAGCTGGCATACGAATGGGTCGACCAGATGCTTTTCCGCGATTAGCAGTTTTTTGTAGCTCAGACCTCAGTAGTATATGAAAAATTGTCGCTTTTGGAATTTCTTTTTTTTTCAAGTGACCACAGCTCAATTGGTTGGAGGGCGTAACTACTTTTTCCAGATAGTGGTAGACGCTTCTTGCTAGTTCCTCGCTAGTATTTGACCTCATTTTGGAACGGATAGAGATATCGACTTCAGGTTTTCAGTTTCTACTAGATAAATGTATGTACTACAATATTCACCCTATTCGGATTTGGGGCACATTGATATCCCTTCGATATATGAATTTTACCAAAGTTGCATTACTTCCGGAACACCCTCTAAGGTGATAACGTCGAAGAATTTATGGCTGAAAAACAGAATAATATGCATAATTTTATACATTGTGCATACAGTACCGTTGTTCTTCTCCATACATGCCTGGGCGAGAAAATGAACCATACATTCCTGTTCACTTTCATTCATGTGACTGATTATGATAGAATATGATCGTGAATGAAAATGAGTCACTTGAATAAAAATGAGTCGAAGATTCAGTCATTTCAGATGAGTTAGTGTGAATGACAGGATTTCTCACTCCTTTCATTTTTCACCCTATGCTTAACACATTGGGCGAAATAAGAAACGAAGTAAGATGAAGTGAAATGAAATACGTTTGCAAGAAACTGACTAAATGTGATGAAAATCTTCAGTGAGAAATCGAGATGACTGAACTTTGAATGAAAAAGTTTTTTTTGACAGGTACATATGATGCATAGTTAAATCCCACCACTTTGCCATCCAATAGTTGCAGGGTAAAGAAAACCATTGGATTTAGCTATTCTAAACCCATATCAGGGGCTTTAGTTGGGTTTTTAGGGTAGTCGGTATTTTGGGGGTAAACTAAGGCTATGTCTCATGTATTTATATATTTAGTTGTGAAAAAAGTCTAGATTCTCGTCCTTCACGAGTCTTTCACGAGTTTTTCTGTACACTTAGGTCTTTTCAGAATTAAACATCGACTGCACTTAGGTCTTTTATGAATTAGTACGATGATATATAACTCTATTTGTTGAGCCTTGGACTGAGCCGCTGGCGTCGTAATTGACATGTGCAACAACAGCTGATGCAAGTAGTATTGTCTTTCTGAAGGGAAATTTCAATAGGGTCATGTCGATATCCGTAGCACCTATATGCAATCAGCGGTTGAAAAAATAATCGAGTTCAAAGAGAGGAACTCGCGAATCGCGTTTGCCAAACCCCAAAAAATTTAAACTCATATGAGTTTAATTTGCACTTGTAAAATTTCACGTTAGAAAAATTCCAAAACGACTTTTTGTAATTATATCTACAAGTATTAGGATTGCAAAAATGTTCAGTTCAAAAAAAATTCTGCACGCAACCAGTCCCAGCATCAGGTTAAACTTAGGAGAAAGCGAAGGAAGTCTTCATTCAAAATGCTTCCCCAAAATTGGGTACTGTGGCCAAGAAAGTTGAAATTTTGAGAACGTGGTTGGGCATAATTAAGGTCAAGAAACTGGGGATCAAGGTTAGAGTAAAAAACATTGTACCAAAGTACGCCAAGAACCAAGAACCACAGGGAAAGACAGCTTGCTGAAAAATTTGCGACTTTCTGTCAGAAGCGATTCTCGTCACGAGTGATGAGACTTTCGTGCACTTGGAACCTTCCGATACACCTGGGAAGAAATATTATCATAGCTCCAAACCAGGTAAAGTGGATTATAACCATCAAGTCAAAAGAAAGCCGAGGTTCCCTGCAAAATTACTCATCCAGAATGTATTGCGCCTTATGGGGAATTTCGTCCCTCAGAAGGAAAATGCTCTGAATGTCCCCCAGTGCGGAACAACCCAACGAATTTGTACCAATTACAACGCCTGACATCCTAGGGATCTGGTAAGGCAAATGGTCTTCCAATCTTCTGAAGAATATGGACAAAAGTTAATGAGGTGGCGGAAAACTGTGGCGCGGCTCAAATCGGAAGCGTCGGTGAGAAGCCTTGCTTGCTGCCGAAATATGATGTCTGTAAAATTCTTGGATACAATGTACAAACTACATCGTATAGTGATCATTTTGTACCATATATGAATTCCATCTATTCAACATGTCACTTGTAATGATTTGGACTATCCAATCCAAGGCTCAGCAAATAGAGTCTTATTGGTTTTGAAATTAAGAATTCAAAAATCGTTTAAACCAACTTTGTGTCTGTATTTTGTAGATTGAGACGAGCGCACCAAAGCGGTATCGCGCAAGTCACAGAATCTTTGTGCTAAGTCCGTACACTCTTAGCAAACTGGTAGTAAAATCTTTATAATGATCTTTACCAAGCCTTCGGTAAACGGACTTGTTCCGAAGTAGTAATAAAACTCATTACTACATATAGATTTTTACTGTTTGGTAAAGACACTATTCCGCATGATGTTAGTAGTCATTGTTACTTCTCTGGTAACGATTTATTACTAAGGAGTAATGGTTATATATAATTTGGTAAGAATTAAGGCGCTTTACTTCTATCCCTCTCGACCAAGTGAGCAACAGCCTGCTATTAAAATCGCTTACAGCATTTTGAATAAAAATAAACAAGCTACACAGATCGAGTGTCGAATTTATTTAGAAGATATATTATAAATTCGGGGATTTTGAGGAGTTTTTTGAAAAGGTATGGTTTTAACAATAAAGTATTTTTGTTCTAGTGCGTATACCAATAATAGCAATTCATGAGCATGAAGCAAGAGAAATTAATTTTTCACTTGATTTTTTTGCAGGTTCTCAAATATTTTATAGTGAGAAATTTGAAGATACACATTTAGTCGCCAGTCCTGTCTCTCCATCTCCCATACCTGGATGAAGAATACTTTGAAATTGTATCTTAAGCTTGATTTCTATAAATATGTACATAAACCTACCAATTAATTAACTTTGGTATGTGCTTATCAAAAAAATGTCAAATGAATTTACTAGCGTTGAAAATAAATTTGTTACCAGATTATTGAAAGAATTGTTACCGGGTTAGTTTAATTTGCAACGGCGTGGTAATGATAACTTTAACCAGATGGTAATTTTTTATTTCCAAACATTATAGTTTGCATTCAATCAGGTAATGAACGGTTTTACTGCACGGAGTGAATTCATTACCGTTAAGTAATAAATTGTTACTGCCATGGTAAGAATTCTATTTGTTACCAACCCGTAATAATTCTTTACCATTCCGGTAGAGTCATATACTTGTACAGTCCGGTAATAATCTGGTAACAAATTTATTAAGAGTGTATGAATCTGTTTGTGTTACTATTGCGATCCCCTGGGGAGCTTCGGCTAGCGGCATGACCGAGGACACATTTTCTGTATGGCCGAGGGTAATTCCTGACCATTTGTTGTACACCATGGACGAAATTTGGAGTGAAGACTGTAGCAGAACTGCAAAATTGTACGATTTTCAAGGCCCTGACGAACGGAAACAAATATATCAGGTTTGGTTCATTACAAAATTCTCGAAAAATATAACACACGAATTTGAGTTTCACAAATATTTTCAAAATATTTACGTTATATCAAATATTTGGTCTTGAAATCTTGAGAATTCTTTTAAAATAGTTTTCCGTGTCAAATACTCGACGTTATGATAAGTGGCGCGAAATGTTGGTAGTACTGGAAATCATTCAACTAATGGAATGCAGCACAAATCAAATTTGTGTTGCACGCAATAAAATGGGGAATGTTTTATATTAGGGGGTAAAACAGCGCGGGAAGTTTAATTGATCAAAATAATTCTGCAATAATTTTACAGAATATAGCCAAGTGTAGCCCTGGTTTTTTGCGGTATAACTTAAAAGTTGCTGTAACGGATGCGGACCCTCCTGCTCAGAAATTTCTTGATTTTAATATTGAACAAGGGCGACCAGTGTTGGGAAGCGTGGAGCGAAAGGTGTGTTAAACTTATTTTCAATGTGAAGGACTTAATTATTCCCAAAATTTACTGTTCCTTCTCTGAATGCGGGTTCGAAGCTGTTAAATAATTGACTTACATTTTTGGAAAATTTATGAATTTTTAATCATTTATGTAGATTGAAATATATGTATGTTACACCGTCCCCGTTTTGGCGTATCACCATCACTCCAAATTCGACAAGGAGCAGATGCAGCACAACTGCGCAATGTTTCCAGTTCTACTTCTTCGGCAGGTTGGCATGAAAAGGGGTGCCGAAATAGGGCATTCGATGCCCTTAAGTTTTTCATACGGCATACTTTAAAAATTTATCTTAACATGTGGACTTCACCAAGCTTATAAAGTTGCATGTCGACTTAACTAATAAAGTTTATTTCTGTCAAGTTGCAGTGACTATTTATTATTTTAACAAACTATTACGTAGGGTTTATCATTCCCATAATTTAAAATTATTTATAACTAACTTAGCCAGGCGAATTAATGTTTTGAACATAACATCTGACCCTGTGCTTGCGATGAGACTTTACCTACAGTATGATATTGCAAAGAAAAGTTGCGCAACAAAACTCACAAATGTAAAAGCTAGCAACCAAAAACACGATGAAAACTCATCGGCAGAAACTTTTTTGGACACCCTCTATACGCCATACAAGTTTGAAATCCGAAAAAAATATAAGGGTAGCTATTAATGGGCCATCGGGGCGTGAGGATTTACCTCCAACTAATTTAACTTCAATTTTAGTAAGAACAAAAAAATACACCAAATAAATTTGTGACACCAAAAGATTGTTTATCTGTCGATCTCATTTCGTCCTGTCGTGTCCGAGCCTCAGAAAGGTGTTTTTTATAGATGCATGAAAATCAGGAAAAAATTATTAAGCTCCGATTCAAAGTATCTGCACCTGTCTTATCCGTCCGTTTGCCTGTATGTCGATAACCTATTTAAACTTATCTACAGGTATCCCGCACTATGTTATGTTAAACGCACTGATAAATTTTTTTTTAAACCGACATGTTTTCATGTGCAAATATTTATTATGAAATTCTGAGTAAATAAATCAACTCGTTTACAAAATGTACTATGTATAAATTGATGAAAAATTGTACCTAAAATCCATACGAGTAATGCCAGCAAACTGTGTGCATATACTCATCGCACACTCCTGAGGGGAAGTCGTGCTTGCTACAGCAATCCCGAATGTCAGAACTTTTGTAATAGGTGGCCTTTCCTTCACAATGCTTGTTACAATCAGGAATATAGCTGTGTGAGGCACCTACGAAAATAGATGTTTATTTTAGTATTATTTAATATCTGCTGTTCTGAAATGTTTTTTCAAGATTTGTGGTTACCATCCTTCGGCTTTGAACACTTCGGGATACTATTTTCACAGCGTCCCTCCTGATATTTGTATGACAACCGGCAGCAATCGATAATGTGATCGTTTTCATAAGTACCGAGATGCCTCTTGTTAAGTTCACTGCAGGTTGAAGTGCAGTTGGAAAAGCCTAGAGATTTAACAAGAATATAAGAATTATACAACATTTAATGTACATATTTTGTTAACCCTTTAAACTGTAACAAAGACAATAGTCGTTTTATAAGAAATTGTTTAATTCGGGAGTAAGACAAAAGTCGTCCTGGAAAATCGTGGTCATGGCGCGGAAGGAAGACAATTGTCGTTTCTAAGAGGTCATTGATTTTCACCATTTTCTCGCCTCGTCGTAAAATTTGTTGCAATTTCGAGGGATTTCTCCTATGCCAACACAATGCTAAATTTTCACATTTTCTTACCAAAAAGCTGGATATTTCCCTATATAGCGCAATGTTAAATTTTTGATTTTTCAGTTTTTCGAGTTTTATTAAAACTCCTGAATTTCTCCTCCCGCGCCATGACCACACCATACGTATAGCGTCCCCATGTTAATGCATTCTCTTGTTGTTAATCATACAGTTTAAAGGGTTAATATGGAATAAATTTTGATGTGATTTGCTTGCCTGATACTGCATCACTCACGCCAGATAATTGGCCAGATGGGTGGTCCTTGTGATGGTAATTGATCCGGTCAACTACAACCGCTACTACGTCGGTTAAATTTTGCACCCGCAGGGTCAGGTTATGAACATCTGCTGTTAAATTGCGAAGACCCAATGTCACATTCCCCAGCATGTATTTCAATTCGTTGTCGACCTTTTCCTTTTCTGCATCTGTAATCAAGAGATAAATAAAAAGTAAGAACAGGCTTACTTATGCCTTGGGTCCCTAAAATGCTTGCAAATTTTCAAAGGTACACGTCACTTGATATTTTTAGACGAGCTTAGTTTGTAAGACTCATTCATATGCAAACAAGATGGCTCACCTAAATGGCCTTTATAAATAGGTGCCATTTAAATATGTCTAGGACGTACAGCGTTAAAATTTATAAAGTCGTGAACGTATCTTTTCACACCAGTGACGATAGCGTCAGGTACTGGTTGGAGACCTTCATATAAAAAACTAAAATATCTCACTCTCAACTTGTCGACGTTCAAGCTTATTATGTTCCCAAGCGTGAGGAGCAGATGCCACCAACACCCCGACGAAAAGAAAAAGAATATGCATTATAATTTTGTTGTGCAGCAAGTCAAGTGACGCTTGAAACTAGCTACATACATACATTAAAATCACGCATTTTGTATAGAATCACATGCATATAAACCTCAATTGCTTACATATAAAATGTGTGCATTTTCCATAATATTAGAGGTATCTAACACTCATAGTTATGGTATTGGTACTTGCGTTTGTACATATTTACATTTGTTTTCAATCATACAATAAGAGTGCAATTATTTATTTATAGGTGTGGTGTTTGGGGGGCTTATTACCAACTATCAAAAAAAGTCCTAGTCGGGTTTTGGGGGGAATTTGAGACTTTTTTAACATTTCGTAAACCCCTATCCCCCTCCAGCACCACGATAACAAAGATTTCAAAGTTCAAGAAAAATTAGCCGCGGAGTTTTTTTTGCGTCTCCAATTTATTCAGAAAAATAATCCTGACCTTTCACCTGTCTGTGACGTTAAAATCGCCGACGAGGAAATTGTCGGCAGGTACTTTTGACATTTTCGTACGTTGAAAAATTTAGAAATTGCGGCATCATGTCGCTATAACTTTGCCATCGTAGCGCAATATATACATATATGTTACATACATACTGTATGTATTTGATTCAAAATTCTAAGATTAGTGATGGATCTTGTCGAACCGTATAATTTTTACTCATATTGCAGTTAGGATTTAGACAGCATTTACTGGCGAAAATAACGTTTGAACAGATTTGTGTATCTATTACCTTTCTGGAAACGATGTCGCACTGCAAAACTGAAGTTCACTCTTTCATCGAATTTGTCCACACGTTTCGGTTTCAGCAAATTTTCCAGAACGGAATTAAGATACCCGTACTCAAAATCGCCTTCCTCTGGTGGAACTGGGTTAACCCTAATATAATTAAACAAATTAAATAAAACAAATTAAACGGAAAAAATGGGATAAGAAAGGTAAGAAACAACAACACTGTGTAATTGATTTTAAGAAACTTTCAAATTTGGCTCACTTGGCAGTGAAATTCAAGTAATGTCGGATATACTTATAAGTCCAAGGAAATTTTACATCTCGACCGGATTTATCAGCTCTTATAGAAGATGATTTTTTGCGTTGAAACCTGCTTTTCGTGGCTCAAGGGACATCGACTCCGCTTGTGGCTCAAGCAATCCGGGTTCTAAACCTAATAGAGACATTCATCATTTTTTTGCAATCCAGTATTGACCTAAATCAGTATAACTTTATATGGGAGGTTAAGTTTTACATGTAGGATAGTCGGAACACCCCGGAATTGTTTGGGGGAGTACCAAAAACGTAAAACCTTTACCCATACCTTTTAGGGGGTGATCCGATTATCTTATATGTAAAATTTGACCTTCCATCCAATGTTGCAAGAATTTTGGTCAAAACTCCATTGCAAAAAGTAAAGTAGGCCCTACTGTGCTGGAATTTGAACCTGAGACTGTTTGAGCCACAAGCGGAGGCGATCCGCCACAAACCAATTAAACGCTCGAGTTTCATCGCGAAATTTTATCTTCTACAAGAGCTGATAAATCCAGTCGAGATGTAAAATTTCCCAGGACTTATAAGTATATACGAAATTAATTCCATTCAAAGTGTAACAAATGAATAAAAATCTTCGTTTCACGTGAAAAGTTCTGCTGAGTATAATGGTATCTACTACTCACAGTTGGCAGTAGTGCAAAGGTCGTTTCCCAGATGTAAGACCAAAGAAGACCAAATCCCCAGACCCAAAGGAAACCCAATCTGAGAGATACGGCCAATGATCTGCAGACAAGAAAAGGAAAGGTAATCAGTTTCCAGCTGTATTTCTATCTTAACGTACTCTTGTATGCGGGTTTTGAGTTTGAGTTTGAATTGTTCTCTCCACTGTCCATTGTTCCATATATTCAGATAGTGATTTTGTAACCTATTCATCTCCGCACCGAGATGAATTAGCTTTTATAGACTTTTAGCCTCAAAGTGTCATGGTTCTCAAACCTGTTTTGTAAACTGATATCCATTAACACTCGAGTAAAGCTTGACTTGACTTGACTTGAATAGGTTTTTGATAAATTATAACTTTTTCAAGGCTTATTTTTTTCATTGAACCAATTAAAATTTTTGAACTTAAGACATGCATGAGCAACAATTTATTGTTTCGTGGAATAGAAAGCTAAATAAATTGGTCAGCTATTATCACTGTCTGATAAACATTGGAAATATCGGCGAGCTGAGGCCCGCCGCCGCCCCCGACAGTTTTCAATGCTCAGGCCGCCGCCGATTTTGCAAAGACGTGTTGCTCTGATTTGAACATACGTATGGAAGTAGTGAAAGCTGCGACACAAATATTCAAACTCAAAACCCGCATGCAATGTCACCTCAAGCGACATAAATATGTATTTATTTACAAATCTCAAGCCCAATCCATAAACTTATCTGGACCGTGTCAATGAGCACTTTCTTCACCACGTTGGGAAAATCGTAACAATATTTCTGCAACAATATGGCTTCACGTGAGTTACAAATATCGTCAATTTGAATCACATTGTTCCAAAATGCGATCGGGTTTGCGCGAACGAGTGGCTTCGTAATCATTTCTGAGAAGTCGTCCCGTTCCAAATAATTCTTAATGGCGTCCAGAACCTCACTCCGCTTGCAAAGAGAGGATTCTAAAATTGGAAATTGTTTACCTTGAGTTAATTGAACAATACTTGAGCGGGTTTTTGTATTAGTTTTACATAAATCATATATATTATAAGCTGGAAATGTTTGTATGCAACGGAAGTAAAACAATTTTCCGTGACGGAAGTGAAAGTGAAGAAAGAAATAATATTAATAAGTGGAATTTTGAAAATCAAATTCACCCTCGCCAGGCGGGAGACGGGCTTATACGCTAGTAGTATAAAAAGACAAGACCTGATCGTCTAAAACAAGCCAATTTAAGTGAATTATGTCACACAAAGCTCACAATTTTATAGACCACCCAACCCTTTAACATATGCCGGAGCCTTCCTTAGAAACATCGTCAGGTTTCTCGTGTCACATAATTCTTAGAATTGTACATTATCGTAAACAATGTGACCCTCAGGCTGAGTAAAGTTAACTTGTAAAGAGTAAAATTTAGCATGGATTTCGTATAGTTAACTTATTTAATTCGGAATTTTGAATGCGTTTAATACTTAAATGGGTCACCTTATTTTAAGCGGGTATTATGTATACATATTTAAAACATACTTTTAGGGCAGACGTACCAGCGCTGACGTCAATAAAGGGTGGTATTATTAAATTTACAAGTGTCACAATGCTCACAATAACTGACCACGAAGGCAACATTATGTTGCAGAAATTGTTGATGATTTCCACACTATGTTTTTTGTTTGGTTGTACAAGCAATTTTATTTGTTTTAATGTTCCAAGCTTGTCGGAATTATTCAGCCACTTGTGTGTGTAGGCGTGGGACATCTGTGAAAATGCTGATGATACGAAAATAATCTACATATATATAGGTATATATCGAGGGAGAGATACATAATAATATCAAGGCTCAAGTTTTTCTATATAAGTATGTAGCCTCTGCAGCCTTGTAGTCAGCCTGTATGTTGTCAGGGTTTCGTTTTTTGCCTATCAAAAAATTCAGAAATAACATGAAAATAACAAATCGTTAAAATTTAAAAGAATGAAGTTTTATATTAGCATTTATAATTTCATGGAATTTATTAAATGTAAAAAATGTTGGGTCCAAAACTTATCACGTGCGATATGATTTTTTTACGCATGCCTGTTTCGTTTATGTAGTTAGACCCTTTAAATAAGATCATATAATTACAAAACTCAGCATAGATGCTCCAAAATTTGTACCACTAAATTTATACAAACCGATTTTAGAGGTGGATAAGAACAAGTGAGTTTATCGGTATTTCCAAGAAGGTTTGGACAAAGCACAGATACTTAAAGAATTGACTTGTTTATTCTTTTTACATATATGTTTATGTATAAATTCGCCAAAGCTTTACCGAATGGGTTTATTGCATGCAAATATGTAAGCGCAGTATTTGCGAACCCTGTGTGCCATGCTTGAATAAAGGGTGAAGCAAAGTCTTATAAAGGTCAAGGTAAAAATAAGGTTCTCTCAACAACAATGAGTGGTCTCATAAAAATGGTTGTTTATGGGTTCGGGGCCAAGCGTACTAATTCTACAACCAGCTGAAACGTGCCATCGCGTCTTAATTTTAAAAAGAGCTATGTGCAGTCAACACTTAATTTTATAACAAGCTAAGCGCAGTCAATGCACTATGTAGTATGTAAATGTATGTATGTACAATGCACGTATGTATGCATACTGCGAATAATGATGTCATACTTTCTTCGCCTGAGAACAATCTGGAAATTAAGCATGCATGATGTTCACGAATCCATGTTTCATTTATGTATAAGGAAATCTGATACCTCGTAAAATGGATTTGATTAATTCCAAATGTTCCATTCGATTCATGAGATCATTTCGTGATTCTTCTAATTTTTGCAATTTCATGAGATTTAGAAATACGCTCAAATCGATGAGAACCTTGATAATGTGGAAAACAATACATATTTACATAAGTAAAATAAATTCACTATGTATATAGAATTCAGAATACATTTATTTTTCTAAAGGATCGCAGTATTTTTAGATGTGGACTTCATTGACGACATCTTTCTTTACCGTTTCATACATAATAAGAAAATCCAGCTTGAACGTACATATGTATGTAAATTTTTATTGGTATATGCACAAATTACTGTAATGGTAAATGAACAAATTTCAAAACCCTGTATACATCAGGATAAACATTCCAATGCTTACATATCCATATCTATTCCAATACATATCTTAAATGTACATACATTTTAATATACGTATAAATGTATGTAGCATAGTATTGACATACATGGGCTACAATTACTTGTACGACATTCTTCAAGGCATGTATGTAGCTACTTAATTTCTCTTCTATATGCAAATAAGTAATGGTTGAAACACCGTTATTACATATCGACCCCGATATTAGATCGTGGCAAAACTACCCCACCCGGCTTTATGTAAGTAATGTATGCTACCTCATGTTATGTGATGTTCGCCTTAGAAATATCAAATCTGAAAAACAGGGTATTTGGTGGTTTCAAATCCGATAAAACAAACACCAATATAAAACAATATCGGTATACTCCATCTTCCTGGTTTGCACATAAATTACAAGCAAGGATGTAGTACACAGCTAAAGCTAATCGGTGTCTTTTGTAACATCAAGCAAATAAATAAGCCACAAACTTCATCTCCGATACTTGCATATGTATAATGTCGCCATTATTGTGGATTTATACGCTCTTCGTGACAAAGTCCATGTTGTCATCTTACTGCCATTCCACAGTTTGGAGCGACTTATTTCTTGATGCCGATCTCAGCTTCGTTTTTACACCTAACAGTGACAATGTATTAGATGTGGACACAAATTTTCCTTATTTTCAAGCTGTCCGAGATGGCAATTTGTACACCCCGCTGCGCAATTTCGTTCTTCAGCAATTTATTTTTTCAGCAATGGATCCCTTTAAATACTTTCCACAACTGAAAGTCTATGGGTATCGTGACACGGAGAAATCTGCAAGACCGAAAGTTATTTTCATCGATGTGGTCGCCTCACCAAGATGGAAGCTGAAGTGCGTACACTTAATCCTCCCAACGGATGCGGTATTCCGACAAGAATTCGTGTTTGGTCACTTTCATAGTCACAAAGATTTGTATTGCTTCGAACGCCACGTAACATTTTTAGGGACCGTGAAGTTAGTGTTGTTCCAGGATTGTGTAAATTCACCTATATTTGTTCCATGTTTAACCTGTAATGAAATAGTGATTTCAAAGGTGAAAACATTATCGTTACTAGGTATCCGCCTGGCGTGGGACGCTCAGAATACAAACCTCCACAAATACGTTACCTTATTGAACATTCCAATACAGGGAAAGTGCGCCTTACTACAGGATGAACTTGCTAATTTTAAAAAGCTAGATTTCTGTCCTGTGCGAACAATTGCGGAAAGGCATAATTTGACCGTATTACAATTAAAGTCAGGAGTGCTGGTTAATGATAACAAAAGCTTTAGCTATGCGCTAATGAAAATGGCCGCTTATAAAGACCGTATCAGATTTGTCTTTCATCAAGTTCAGTTTAGATCAATTAATTTCTTGGCTTAATGGTGGACAAGTTGATCATAGTAACGTGCATATTTCTCGGCCAGGTTGGGGATAGTTCTGGGTCGCCGTATCGGAATCGAAAAGTGTCCCTTATTCTGCTCACCTTATGGTTGTTTGGAAATCTCTTTCTAATGGTTAATTATTACCAGGGCTCGATATATTCATGTCTTGCAGTTCTCCTCCCGCCTCCAACCCCACGTCGAGTTGAAGAATTGGCCGACTCGAATATTCGTATGATAGCTATGAATGAATACTATAAACTCGATGGGACCGCACACACATATCTCCAAGATATTGTTATTCCGCAATTAATCAAAAGTGTTGGCCAGAAGCCCGAATTTATTAAGTTCTTAGCCAAATTTCAAGCTAAACTCTTGTCAGCCAACGATGAGTTAGTGTCTCAAATGTACCGTAAAATTCTTAATGAAAATTCAACACGCACTCACCCATTGATGGTACTATTCTTCTTTAGGGATGAGTTCGAAGCTTACGTTAGGTTTTCTAGATATTGGGGCAATCGTCATATTGCCCGAAGTACAGGAGACTCACCATTTCGAGTCATCATTTTCCATGTTTGGAACAGAAATTTGTTCACTCCTTATCTCGCGAAGGGATTGAAACGCATTCAAGAGTCCGGGTTGACACAGATGTGGCATGATATGAATAGCATAGTTGAGGTGTTTAGCACTAGAGAACTCTTATTTGCACGTGGTAAATATTTCAAAGCTGTGCAAGATTTGTTTGGACGCGTGAGGGAACAAGCCACATTTCATGAAGCGAAAGTTGTCTCACTTGACCTGATACTGCCGGCTTTCTACATTTGTGCAATTATTATCTCCCTTGGGGTGGCCGGATTCGCGACAGAAAATTGGAAACTTCTCGCGTCTTGGGGAAAAACCGTGGTGAAGATTACGAAGGGATTGGTTCGTGGAATATGTAAAGTGGCAAAGGCTTGGACGATACAGAATATATTTAAGGTGGCGGTGGCAATGCAATTGTGGAAGTATACCAATAGAGAAGATGAAAGCTAACAATTTGCTAAAAAATGTTAAAAATTTGCGAAAATACTAATATTATTACGTAGAATCTACAACATGATACTATATTAGCTCTAAATACTAAATAGCGTATTTTTTCTACTATAATTGTTGTACCAGTACTAAATCTCTCCGCTAGCCTGAATTAACGTACATATTAAATTTTGTGTTTAGTAAACCATTTTACGTCCTCAAAACGAATCAAATACGACCAAACATGTTAAAGTTGTTAGATAAAAAGTCCCACATTATCATAATGATGATGAATGCGTACGTGGTCAAGCATATCCATTTTGGAATAATACATGGCACGGACATAAAACTCTTTGATGAAAGAGAATTAAGATTACTTCACTTGATTAACGACCAGTGGCGTGCCAGCACAAAACCTGTAAATTTGCTAAATCCGCGGGAGATTAAATTATATATGCACTCCAACTTATGCAACTGGGTGGAATGGTCAGTCGCCACTTTAGAAACTAACTTTACACAGATTGCAAAGTCTACACAAATTTCTCCCATAAAAATATAGTGAAGTTTAAAAATGATTCAAGAAATGGCCGTGTATAGACCAACAGCCCCTCCCCAAATTTAGAAGTCGCCCTCGAGTGTACTATTTGCTTTGACACGCCAGCCTCGCCCATTCATCAGTGCGACAATGGGCACATCGGTTGCGTAATTTGTGCCGGAAGGATGACAGGATGTGGTCTGTGTAGAACCAAATTGGAAATTTCCATTTTGGCCGAGCGACTCTCACGACAAGTTATGTAGTAAATTATGCAAATACAAGTGCAGAAATTATTAAATCTAAAATTATATTGGTCTTTGATAATAGCTAGACCTTATGCCCGCCTGTCCTTACTCCATGGCTGGATGCGTGACAAAAGTTTCGAGAACTGAAATGACAAGCTATCCGGCTAAATGGTGCTACAGGTAATGGGACAATTTACATAGTTACCGAAATTTTGTCTCGTAATTTTGTAATTTTATTTTAATTTTGAAATTAAAAAAATACAACAATATTGATGCATTTTTACAATATTGAATACATACACTCTTAAAGATGTTTATCTTTTGGAGTGTATTCTTATTAATTTACTTTGCATAAAATCTGGTTTTAGGACACCCACAAAGATAAATCAACTCGACCACGTACTCCATGTCATCACTGTCATAAGAAATTTTTAAGTAAGACGGCCATGCAAACTCACATC